CTTGGTACACGTCTGTAATTACTCGTGACGGAATCCCTAGCTGACATATCGACCGAAGATAGTCGGCCGTTTGATTCAATTAAGGATAGACGCGTGTACACACGCCGTTGTTCCTCCTCCTCCTCCTCTTCCTCCTCCTCCTCCTCCTTCCTTTCACCTCTCATCCCTTCAACCCCTTTTACCACTGCTCGAATGTCTCACGTTGCAGATCTCTCTCTCTCTCTCTCTCTCTCTCTTTCTCTCTCTCTCTCTCTCTTTCTCTCTCTTTCTCTCTCGTTCGCTCATCCTCTCTCTTTGATAATTACGCACGCATAGATCGACACATTAACGCAACTAGAAATGCATGGATCCATTAACGAGCAATCATAGTCTAGACGTCCTTATCGTTCTCTCTAATTGTAATTTTTTTTCTTCTTTATTTCATTCGAATACTTACGAAGGATTAAGTTCTTTTTTTATTTTTCTTTCTTTCTTCTTTATTTGTTATTTTTGTTATTTCTTTTTCTTTTTTTTCTTTTTTTTTTTTTTTTTTTTTTTTTTTTTTTCTTTTTTTTTTTTTTGAAAGAGAAAGATTAAATAGATTTAGCAAATTTCGTTATAAAAAACTAATTACATGCTTGACTTACGATTTATTCCATTTAAGCATATTGTAATATTAATGATTTTAATTTATTTAAATAAATCTATAATTTATCAATAATTGTAGAAAATCGTTTCTAGTAAATAACTATACTCTTATAGTTAATGTTAATATTTAAATTGAAATGATGAAGAAATTAGATTGTACAGTAATATCTTTTTCGACAAAATTTAATGAAGATAATTTTTGATCTTGTGATTATCGTCGGTTAAAGGGTTAAAGTAAATAAACAATAATTTCATGTAACTCATTATTATCGGAGAACTTACGTTGAAGAGCAGACAATGATAAAATTTTTGTTCTCCTGTAGAATAAAAATTTGAAAAATGGAAAAGAATGCGAACGAACTAAATTATTGTCTCTTGATATACTTGATTTCTTTCTTTCTTTTGCTTTTTCTTTTCTTTTTCTTTTATTTTTTTTTTTTCAATTCAGCCAATCTCTAAACGACGACGACAATGACGATGACAATGACGACGACAACGACGACGACGACGACGATGATGAAAAAATGTCAGAGCATACTTTCGGATGGGTGCGATTAAATGCTGAACGATTCACGGTGAATAACGATTCAACGAAATTATTCATTCTGAGTAGATACTCGTACAAACAAGCAGTGGGCCATTCGTGGAGCCTTCAAATTCAGTATGCGATGTTTGACGAGCCTCGTGGTCGTTGTTCGTTCTATGAGCGATCGCTGCATGAATAAGCAAAACTCATTTGAGCTTTTCCATTCTGTGAGAAAGCATGTGCGCAATTAACTCTATCGTGTTCGATCGTTCTCATTTCGATATTCTCGAAAAAAGGAGAAAAAAAAACAACCAAAAAAAAAAGGAAAAAGAAAAAAGATTGAAGTAAAACAAAAAACACCAATAAAGAAAATAAAGTAGAACAGAAAAAAAAATAGGAACAAACAAAGAAAGTACAAATTAGACGATCATGTGTGTACGTTTAAGTATAATATTTGAGCCGTTTATTTTGAAAGTGGCCTAACTCCATTTATCTTCAAATCGAGATATTTAAGGATTTGCGTTTCAATGAATTTAAAAATATACGTATAGGATATTAATGAATCATACTACTTAAGTGTATCTAAGGGTGTTAAATTTATAGTTCCTATTAAAATAGTGACAATTATTAAGTGAATAATATGCGTTTTCTTATCAAGAATGGAGTTAGGCCATTTTCAAAATTAACAATCAGATTCATTATAAAATTTGAAGGTGCCCAAGTCCATTCAACATAATTTAAGATGCTTCAAATTGGAAAAAAAAAACAATACTCAATTTATTTTACATATCTTTAAAACACTTCGAAAACATAATTTATGCGATTCAAAACATTTTTTAACTACATATAACGTACAAAATTACAAACATAAATTTATTACAAAACAATTTACTACTCATCTAGATTTTGTGTGTGTGAAAGGGATTTGAAGAAATCATGATGTTCCGGTGATATATATCGTAATAGGTCAATTATGTCCTTGAATTTTGCAGTTGTAATTTGTCTGATATTTTTATACAGTGGTGTCAATAAAATATTTTCGAACTTTCTTGATCTACCCCGACGTGGTAATAAATTCAGGACTTTAAAATTTTCATTTTCATTCATTGATGTTTTATAGAAAATTTTATACGGTTTATTTCTGACAAAACGCATCCAACATATTTTTAACCAGTTTATTGATTCTCCATCAGAATTCTTTACTCTTTTAAAAATTGCGTTTTCTAATAATTTTGTTTCATTATTTTTGTCTCATTATTTTTGTCAAATATCTTGATTTAAGTATAAATGGAGTTAGGCCACTTTCAAAATAAACGGTTAAATTATTGAACTAACTCTGAAAACTTA